GGGTTAATCGGAAAAACAAACAACAACCAACAACTACACAATTCAAAGCAGTCATGGGGGATCACGAGGAAAACCCAGCGGTACCAATAGTGCCAGAGGCTGCTCTCTATGACTGGGCACAACCCACAACTGAAAATCTGTCCACAGCCATTATAGTTCTGCAGATGCAGGCTGAGTCATTCCAAATTATGAATAATATGTTGCACTTGTTGCAGAACAAGGGACTATTTACGGGGTCGCAAGTCGAAGATCCTCAGCAGCACTTGAAGAACTTCCTCTCTATCTACAAAACCCAAAGGCAGCCCAACGTAACTGCTGAATAAATCAAGCTGTTATTGTTTCCATTCTCAGTGACAGGAGCTGCCCAGTCTTGGCTAAACTCACTTCCCATAAATTCTATAACAACTTGGGATGAGTTAGTCAGACAATTCCATAACAAGTTCCACCCACCCAATAAGACTGCTCAACAAATTGATGAAATTTTGAGTTTTAAACAGAGACCAATGGAAACACTACATGAAACATGGGAGCGCTTTAAAGGGATGCTGGTTATATGCCCGCACCATGGTATTCCAGATCTGATGTTGGAGTAGCGGTTTTACATGGGATTATCAGATAGTGTGAAGAACATTGTTGATGCTTCAGCTGGTGGAGCATTTTTGAGCAAAACATGGAGAGAAGTCCAGAGTCTGCTTGACAAGATGACACAAAATTCGGGATGGACAACTAGGAATGAACCTATCACTCTCGTGGTTCACTCAGTGCCCTTAGATCCATCCACTTCTATGGCTGAAAATATGGCCACTTTATTGACACAGATGAGTATACTCAACAAAAAGGTGGAAGAGTCAGGGCAGAAGCAGCAGGTACACATCGTAGATACTACCAATGGGGGCTTGTGCGCATCTTGCATTAGTCAGCCAATCGGTAACTAATGGAATGCAGAATATGATCATCACCACTACTCTGAAGACATGAATTATGTGTCTAATTATGGAGGCCAGAGACAGGGTGGTCAGAATTGGGGCCAGCAAAATCAGCAATACAGGCCAGTCCATCCACAGTTCAACAATGGAAACATAGGAGGTATGAGACCCCCTAACAATATTGTACCTTAACCAAGGCCATAGGGATATAATAATCAGAATCAGCAGCAGGGGTATCACCCTTCTCAACAGCAGCATGGTGGAAAGCAGGAAGATGGGTTTGCTAGACTTGAGGCAATGATACAAGAGGTTATTGGGTCTAATGCAAAGATTAATGAGAGAGTGGATGCACATGATGCAGCAATCAAGAATATTGAAGTGCATGTGGGCCAAATTTCTATGTCTCTGAACAATCGTCCTCATGGGACACTACCCGCAGACACCCAAATAAATTCAAAAGATCAAGGCCCAAAGCAGTTGATGGCGGTAAGTCTACATAATGGCAGAGATCTGGATGTATAGCAAGAGAGGGCACGAGAAACTAGACAACCTGAGACACTTATACCAGTGCCCATTGAGCTGGATGAGTCAACAAAACTGACGGAGGTGCCAGTCCAGCCTGCCCAGGAAGAAAATAGCATTCAGAATGGACCAAGAAAAAAGCTAAGACAGTCCAGGAACCAGTAGTTGGTGTAGCAGCTGATACGGATCAATCCCAGTTGATTGGGAAGAAGAGACCTCCTGTACCTTTCCCTCAGAGGCTGGCTAAGTACCAAAAGGAGGAACAATACAAGAAGTTCTTCGAAATGCTGAAACAAATCCAGGTAAACATACCATTGATAGAAGCTTTGAAGGAGATGCTTGGGTATGCAAAAATGATGAAGGACTTGATGTCCCGAAAGTTTGATTTCCAAGACTTGGCCACAGTTACTCTTACTCAGACCTGTAGTGCAGTGGTGACGAGACCAATTGTAGAAAAGCTGTCTGACCCAGGGAGCTTTATAATTCCATGCACTATTGGTAATTTGCTTTTGCTAAAGCACTGTGTGATCTAGGGGCAATCATCAATCTTATGCCCCTGGTGATTTACAAGAGGATGGCCATTGGAAGAACTAGACCCACCTCTATGTTGTTATAGCTAGCTGACAGGACAGTGAAACGACCCTCTGGTATACTGGATGATGTGCTAATTCAGGTAGGGAAATTTGTGTTCCCTGCAGATTTTGTGATCTTAGACTGCAGAGTGGATGAAGAGATTCCCATAATTTTGGGAAGACCATTCTTGGCCACAGGGAGAGCTTTCATTGATTGAGAAATCGGGGAGCTCAAAATGAGATTGAACGATGAGGAGATAACATTTAATGTGCAGAAATCTATGAGGCGACCAAGTGAATTCGCCAATTGTTCTCTTATTGATACCGTGGATGTAATCGTAGAGACTGATGATGAGGTGCTAACCATTGAGGACCCCCTTGTTGCATGTTTGATGAATTTGGATGAGGTGAATGGAGAGGAATTGGCAGAATAGGTGTTGGCATTAGAGGGTAGAGGGTTCTGAGATAGAACTCTAGAATTTGAGCCATTGCACTTGGAAAATCGAGAGACTCCTCCAGCTAAGTCATCTATTGAAGAACAACCAAAGCTGGAGTTAAAGCCATTGCCCAACCATCTCAGGTATGAATTCCTTGGACCTAACTCCACATTACTTGTTATTATCTCATCTAGTTTGTTAGATGTGCAGGCGCATCAACTCTTGCAGGTACTTAAGGAGTGCAAGACTGTCATTGGGTGGACCATGGAAGACATAAAGGGGATCAACCCTACCTACTGTATGCACAAAATTCTACTGGAAGAGGGACACAAACCTTCCAGGGAACACCATAGAAGACTGAACCCTAACATGAAGGAAGTGGTGAAGAAGGAAGTAATAAAGTGGTTAGATGTGGGAATTATCTTCCCAATCTCTGACAGCAGTTGGGTTAGCCCAGTTTAGTGTGTACCTAAAAAGGGTAGCATGACGATAGTTAAGAATGATAACAATGAATTGATCTCTATAAGAACAGTCATGGGCTGGAGAATTTGCATGGATTATAAAAAGCTAAATCTAGCCACCCGGAAAGACCACTTCCCACTTCCATTCATTGATCAGATGTTAGACAGACTGGCAGGGAGGTCACACTTCTGTTTTGTAGATGGGTACTCAAGATACAACCAGATCTCCATTGCACCGGAGGACACAGAGAAGACCTCTTTCACTTGCCCTTATGGCATTTATGCCTTTCGGAGGATGCCCTTTGGCCTATGCAACACACCCGCCACATTCCAACGGTGCATGATGGCCATCTTCACTGACATGGTAGAGGATATAATGGAGGTATTCATGGATGACTTCTCAGTAGTGGAGAACTCATTTGATGAGTGCCTGATAAATTTGACTCGTGTGCTGAAACTGTGTATCGAGACTAACCTGGCTCTGAACTGGGAGAAGTGCCACTTCATGGTACAAGAAGGCATATTCTTGGGGCACCGGGTCTCAAGCAAAGGAATTGAGGTGGATCGTGCTAAAGTGGATGTAATAGAAAAGCTACCTCCTCCAACTTCATTCAAAGCAATCAGAAGCTTCCTTGGGCATGTCGGTTTCTACCGGAGATTCATAAAAGACTTCTCAAATATTGCCAACCCTCTCTGTAAGTTGTTAGAAAAAGATCACCCTTTCTTGTTTTCTAATGATTGTAGGGTAGCATTTGAGGAGCTGAAAAAGTGACTGGTCACAGCACCTATCATTGTTGCCCCCAACTGGGAGAAACCATTCGAACTCATGTGTGATGCCAATGACTATGCAGTGGGGGCAGTGCTGGGACAGCGGAAGGACAAGCTGATGCATCCAATCTACTATGCTAGTAGAACGCTGAGTTGATCCCAGCTAAACTATACTGTGACTGAGAAGGAGATGTTGGCTGTGGTGTTTGCTTTCGACAAGTTCAGATCATATCTGATTGGTTTTAAGGTAATTGTATACACTGATCATGCAGCTCTCAGGTACTTGATTGAGAAGAAGGAGTCTAAGCCGCGCTTGATTCGTTGGGTGTTGCTGCTGCAAGAATTCGACCTGGAAATTCGTGACCGTAAGGGCACAGAGAACCAAGTCGCTGACCATCTATCATGACTTGAGGGAGCTGAAAATGCAATTGAGGTTGAAGATATTCTGGAAACCTTTCCAGACGAGAAGCTGCTCGCTACTAATCTTGAGGAAGCTCCTTGGTATGCAGACTTTGCAAATTACCTGGCCTGCGGTATAGTTCCCTATGACCTTTCATCTGTACAAAAAAAAAGTTTTATCGTGACTGCCGCATGTATTATTGGGATGAGCCTTACCTGTTTAGAATTTGTGTTGACAATATGATCCGGAGGTGTGTCCCCGAGATAGAACAATCTTCTGTTTTGCATGCTTGTCACGCATCGGCTTATAGAGGACATTTAGGAGGGGTCAGGACAGCTGCGAAAGTGCTTGAGGCCGGATTCTTTTGGCCAACAGTGTTTAAAGATACGCACCAATGGGTGAAGGGCTGCAATGAATGTCAGCAGACCGGGAACATTTTCCGTCGCCATGAGATGCCCATGAACCCAATTCAAGAGGTGGAAGTGTTTGATGTCTGGGGGATTGACTTCATGGGTCCCTTCATCAGTTCCTATGGCAATAAGTACATACTTGTTGCTGTGGATTACGTGTCCAAATAGGTAGAAGCTGTAGCATTGCCCACTAATGATGCAAGAGTGGTGGTGGGGTTTTTGAAGAAGAACATATTCACCAGATTTGGGACACTAAGAGCGATTATCAGTGACGGAAGCACTCGCTTCTGTAATAGAGCTTTCGAGAAGTTGCATGCAAAGTATGATGTACGCTACAAAGTGGCTACACCTTATCACCCTCAAACTAGTGGGCAGGTTGAAGTGTCCAACAAAGAGATAAAGAGTGTGCTAACCAAGACTGTGAACGACACAAGATCTGATTGGGCAAAAAAGTTAGATGATGCACTCTAGGCCTATAGAATTGCTTTTAAAACATCGATTGGTATGTCACCATATAAGTTGGTGTTCGGGAAGGCCTACCATTTGCTAGTGGAACTTGAACATAGAGTGTGGTGGGCACTGAAACAGCTGAATCTAGACATCGAGGCTGCGGGCACAACGAGCATCACAGAATTGCTTGAGCTCGACGAGTTCAGACATCTTGCTTTTGAGAGCACAAGGTTATACAAAGAAAGAATAAAAAGGTTGCACGACAAGAACATTGTGGAGAGAAATTTCAATCCTGGAGATATGGTGTTGCTTTATAACTCACGATTAAGGCTATTTTCGGGTAAACCCAGGTCACGATGGTCTGGACCATTTAGAGTGGTCGAAGTTTTCCCTTCAGATGCTATCGAGATTGCCACAGAGAAAGACTCTAGTACATTTAGATTCAATGGGAAGAGATTGAAACCATATGTGGGCATGAGCGAACCAAAGGAAGTGTCTGAGCTACACCTGACTGAACCACAGAGGTCGAGCGAGCCTTAAATGCGCTCATCTGCGTCGTGTCGTGACGTTAAATCAGGCACTGCATAGGAGGCAACCCAAGAATGTGTTGTAAGTGTAATGCATAACTTCATGAAAAAAAAAGTAGCAGGAATACGCCCAGACCGCGGTCCCAGCGTAACCGCGGTCGGACCGCGGTCAAGGACCTCCTCTGAAAGAAGTCTAACGTGGTCCCAGCGTAACTACGGTAGGACCGCGGTCAAAAACCTCCTCTAAAAGAGGTTTACCGCGGTCACAGCGTAACCGCGGTATGACCGCGGTCAAATACCTCCTATGAAAGAGGTCTACCGCGGTCCCAGCGTAACCGCGGTCGGCCCGCGGCAGACCAGCGCGGGCCAGGTAAGTTGCAGAATTTTTTTCCCCTTTTTTAAACCTAACCCCCCACTATTCCCCCAAACCCTTCTTTTCTTCAAACCACCAGCAGCCCCCATCCCTTCTCTCTTCTCTTCTCTCTTTCACACCATCTCCTATCCCTCAAACCCCCATTGTTGCCCCTCTTTTCTTCTCCATCTCTCTCTCTCTCCACAACCTATCCCGTCCATTCATCCTCAAGGTATACTTCTCTATTCTCTTCTCTTTCTTTTACATAACTTAGTGTAATGAGTTGTCTAAATTAGTTTCAATTAAACCCTAGGTAGTGTTTTAGTGTAATTTTTTTATTTTTTTTCTTTCTTTTTCTCCATTATTTGCTTCTTTTGGCCATGATTGATGCTTAAATGGTTGGGTTTTCATTGTGCTTAACTTGGGGGTGATTTTTAGAATGATTGGAGGCCTAAACAAATTTTTTAGGGTGAAGCTTGGTGGGGGGCCTAAATGGCCGAAAATTGGGGTGTGTTGTAAAATTTTGGAGCACTTTGTGCCCTTCTTAGTTTGTGGTGGTGGTAGAATTTGACATGATTCACTTGTGGGAGATTGTGTGGGGTATTATATGGTAAAATTGTAGAATTAATAGTGGTGTGAGGTCAATAGTGGAGGTTGTCAACTTTGAGCACCTTACTAATTGGGTATACTGGCATTGATTGACATAAGGAAACTATTTGGTGCCATCGGGTGGCAAAGTCTGAGTACCCATTTGACTGGCCCATGTTAGGATGCATCTGATTGTTACCCTGAATTGTCTACAGGTAATATGGCTCGAAAAAGGCGAAAGAGCTCGGCAAGCACTTCCCAAATGCTAATATATGATGCCACCAGGTTCCAGTAACAGGAGGCAGAGGACGCGTTTCATGCTAAGGCCACCAAAAGCTTTGTCCCTGAGATTCCTGTTGACAGGGCTGCCCTACGTATGGAAAAAGAAGACATGTATGAGGAAATCAGATGGAGGGAGATGGAGTTCTTGTTTGATGAACCTGAGACGGCAAAACCAATAATAGTCCAGGAGTTCTACGCGAACTGCCCGAAACATTTGTGCCGGTTTGTGATTGTGCGGGGCAGGGTGGTAGATGCCTCAATTCTGAATATTTGCCAGGTCTTGCAGCTGCCATAGTTCACTGGTGACATTGATCATTACCACGACGCCCAAGGGGTCACTTCAGACAGTATGATTGAGACAATCTGTTCAGGGGGTCGACCAATCTGGCTATAGGAAAACATTACCCTTCACTCCAAGTCGTTCACACATGAGGCTAAGTGCTGGTTCACCATTATTTGCAGCTGGTTATTGCCCACATGCAACATGACAGATGTGAACCACCTACGGGCTCTATTGGTGTGGTGCTTCGTCACCAAGAAAGACTTTGATGTGGCGAGAATTATTGGAGATGAAATGATCCTTCGGTCACCTCTGCTATCTGAGGGGTTTTACTTCCCCTCACTTGTGACGAGGTTGTGTCTGCTGGATGGTGTCCCCACCAATCCTACAAATGGAGCTTTGACCGCTAAAGCGGCATTCAGAACTTCAAAGATCACAGTGGGCAGAGATGCACCCACAACCATTGAGCTTGATGATGAGGATGACGCCCCAGCACCCATGGCACCATCCAGGAGATCCTATGATGGAGCCAGATCCTCTCGGCGACCCCTTACTGGGGCAGGGTTCTCTAGATCACAGTCCAGCCGACCCATGTTGCATTCTTTGGAGGAAGAGGTGGCAGATCTTCGCTCCTCGGTGGATGGCCTGTAGGTGCGTATGGATGCCATGTCTCAGCGGCAAGCCAGGTCTGAGAGCCGGATGATGGCTTGGTTCCGTGCTTTGGGGAGGGCTTGTCATGTGGATCCCAGCACAGTCTACGACTCCAAGTGATGCTAAGGGAAGTCTTCTTACCCTTCTGCACTTTATTTGTGTTATGCCATGGGGACATGGCATATTCCTTTTGTGTGGGGTGGGAGACTTGCTTTAGTGGTGTATTGTTAGTGTACATATACATTGAGTATGTTGTAGTTCTGTATCTTTGTTGTTGTGTATAATTGGTTGTACTCTCCTTAGAAGTAACTGACTTGGCCCAACGATAGACACTTGTCGACGGGTCTCTTGAGGGTCAAAGTCAAGTTTAAAATAAATAAATAAATAAATAAATGTAGGAGACTCTTCTTGAGGACGGACCACTTGGACAGTACTATTGATGGAAGTAGTCCATTTAGAATTTTTTAGTTTATTTTTCTTTTTAGGTAGTGTAGTAATTCCTCCTTGGTTTTTCTTTTGACCACGATTGTTTTCCAAGGGCTTTTCTTGAACCGGGTTAGGTAGATTTTTCTTTAATATTTTTAGGACCCTTATGACTCTATTGGACTAAGATGGGTGAGGGCAATAATGCAACCCGTAATGTACACACCTGCAAATAACTAAAACGAACTTGAGGGTGCGACGTCTAGGCTCGTTTGTAGACTCGTAATTTTATGCCTTAATTCTGCACACCTTGTCTTTCTTGAACGCTCACGTGAGTGTGTTGACAAACTAATGCGGAATAAGTTACATGCAAAGTGTGTGTGAGATAATACTTGTATTTTGTGCTTGCATGCGATACTTAGAACTTGCCCTATGTTTGCAAAGCGAAATAGAAGTTGTTTGGTCTTAGAGATGATTGAGGCATTTCCTTGTGTAGCATGTATAATTATGAATTCACCTGTACATATTGCCATAGTTAACCCCTTCGAGCCTGAAGCCTGTTCTTTGATAACCTTACAATAACGTACATCCCTGTGTTTGATTAGTTTGACTGTTTGAACCTGTACCTCCTAGAAGCACTTGAATCGTTAAAGAGCATATAAAAGTCAAAGTGTGGGGTAGTAATGGAGTGGGAAAAGGAAAATCAGGAAAATACTTGAATCGTGCAATGACTGTTAAAAAAAGAAAAAAAAAGGCCAGTTGCACCTAAAGAAAAGTGGGGGTAGCCTATGAAACAAGTGTGGAAGAAAGATTGGGTTGAACATGGAAATTGAAATAAAAGGAACGATTGTATTAAAAGTGCTTAGAGAGGTTAGTCACTATATACAAATATATCCTACCTGTCCCTTAGCATACATTATAACCAAATAAAGACCTCTTGATCATGGACTTAACAACTCGATTAGTAGAGTATTACACTAAGGGCAAGATTATGGTGTATCTGTGTGGCATGTGAATGTTCTTTGCTGAGAGTGAGTGGATTCATTCTATCTATGGTTCCTTGTTGCTTGATTTTATGTGTGTGGAACTTCTCTCAGAAATGTGATGTGATGACATGTGACTCAGCAAGAAAAAGCAAGTTTTCACCTCTGTTTAGAGTAACTAGAGTAAGCACGAGTGTGACATGGCATTATAGTCTTCATCTGAGGTGTGGTTGTTGCACTGCTTAGGTTGTTCTTTCATAATGGCGGGTGTGACATAAACTGGGTGATGCATCAAACGATTAGGCCTAGAAGTGTGGTTCAACTTGCTCGAGGACGAGCAAAGATTTAAGTATAGGGTGTTGATAATAGGTGAATTGGACTATAATTAGGCCCTAAAGAACCACCTTCTTGTATAGTTTTATGGTAAAAAGTGATAACAAAATGCTCTGATTAGTACTTTTCATGCTTTGCAGGCTATATACAATAAAAGAAGTCTATGGAATACTTTTGGGATTAATTACGGAGAAAAAGAGGCCAATATTACAATATCCGCTAAGTGCATCACGCGAAGGTAGAAAAACCAGAACTGGAGATGGACTATCGCGGTCCCGGCGTAACCGCGGTTGGACCGCGGAAGAAGGCAATTGCAGATTCTGAGAGGCTAGTTGGCTACGGTCCTGGCGTAACTACGGTAGGACAGCGATAGGAAGCGAAAAATTGAGGGACTGAAGTGCAAAACACGGGAATTTTAGCCCAAAACCCTATATTAAATAATAGAACACGCCCAAGGGAGGCATGTAATGTTTTAGAGAGTACTTTGGCAAGAAAAATAAGTGTGAGAGATCACCCAAAACATCATATTTTCTTCTTCTCTTTATTTTTCTTGCAATTTTGATCATGAATATTTTCATAGTTTATTTACCCATTGTCATGAGTAGCTAAATCCTTTGTCTAGGGTTTTGATGGAACCTATTGAAGGATGAACTTCTTGATTATGTTAATATAGTTTGCCAGTTTAATCTCTATTTGTTCAACTACGTGTTTGTTGTAGTTAATTGACAGGATCCTCAATTAGCTGTGCCTATTTAGTATGCATAACTCGGGAGAGAGTGCATATTTAGGTAATTGTTGAACAACACCACTCCCAAAGTATAAGAGGGATCTATAACTGCGGGTTTAAAGGTGGGATTAGGGATAACAAAGTCTTGGGCGCAATCTAAAGTGAACTGTAATAAACAAAGCCAGCTAGCATATCTCGGGAGAGTGCGTCTAGTAAATTATCATGATTACTCGGGAGAGATTCATGGTAAAAAGAGTGTTCATGATTGATAGAGATGTGTTGGTAAATCTATATGAAACATAAACAGAAGGGATTCCATCAATAGGGGAAATCACTACCTTAGAACCTTCTCATTATTGTTCACAACTTAAGCATATTTAGTTTACAACTGTTT